TGTGCTGCCGTGAGCAGGCACAGGAGGGGAGTGTTTGCTCATTTCTTCAGCTGTTCCTACAGTTCAGGTCCAGCCAGATTAGACACTTCAGAGAGTGGATTCCTTCCAAGATGGGGCAGGTTGGCGGGGCTGGGGGAGGCCCCGGGCCACGTGGCACTGTGTCCAAGGGCCCTCTGTGACACACTGGGCATGGCCAGTGGGATGGAAGGGGGCAGGGTGTCCAAGGGCCCTTTATGATCTGTGGTGACAGAGGTGCTGCTGGTGACACGGCCACAGTGTCAACAGTGCTCCTTGGAGCAGGCGACGGGACAGGACAGGACAGAGCGGTGCTGTGCGGAGCCCCCGTGCAGCCAACTCGTGCCTTGTTGACCCGAAGCGTTTTAGAGGATTTTCTTGCTTTCAGGTGACCTCGAGGCCTTTCTGCAGGACTTGGAGACCCGGAGTTTCTCCGAGGTGTCTCCAACCCCTTTGGAAGGTGCCCTCGAGGCCTTTCCACAGGACTTGGAGACCCGGAGTTTCTCCGAAGCATCTCCAATCCCTGTGGCAGGTGCTCTTGAAACCCTTTTGCAGGGCTTGGAGACCCAGAGCTTCTCTGAGGTGTCTCCAATCCCTGTGGCAGGTGGCCTCAAGGCCATTCTGCAGGACTTAGTGTCCCGGAGTTTCTCCGAGGCGTCTCTCTTTGCAGGTGCCCTCGACACCAGACTGTGGCATGGCAGGGAGACGCTTCAGCCTGCTCAGGCTGTTCCGGAGGAAGAAGGAGGAGGAAAGCCCTGGGGCTGCTCCAGCACAGCAGCCTGAAGAGGTGCAGCAGGTGCAGCCCCCGCAGGAGGGTGAGTGCTGGAGCTGGGCCACAGGGCTGGTGGCTGCAGCCTCCTTGGCCTCATCCTGTCCTAGTCCCTCTGGACATGCCCAGGGAAAGGGAGGGGAGAAGAGGGGCTGATCTCCTGGCAGCCGTGCTCCATCCACTGGGCATCCTGGGGCTGGTCCTGCCTGCTCCTGGAGCCCAGGCCTGGGCTGTGTTCTCCGGCCTCTCCCGCACCCCCTCAGCTCCGAGCGCGCTCGCTCTTTGCCAGATGCAGGCCAGGAGCGGACAGAAGAGCAGCTCTGTGCCCGTGGCTGCTTCCGCAGGGCAGCACAGGTACCTGCAGCCATCCCCCCTGGGCTGGGCCTGCTCTCACTGCTCAGCCCAGCACTGCTGTCGCAGCCCTCCAGGGGACATCCCTCTCTTCCCTGCCCTTCTTTCTCCTGCAAACATTTATGAAATTTGTGGGCAGTCGGCGTAGACAGTCCAGGATCACACCAGCTGATGTCCAGGTCCGGCCTGACACCATCCCGACCCAGCTGAAGGCAAAGCCTGATGTCAGCACTGCGTCGACTGCTGTCCCAGCAAAGTGTGACACCGCAACCAGTGATCACACAACCCACTGGGACACCACATCGAGCGATGATGTGTCACACTGTGACTCTGAGCTACCTGAGCTCATGGAGGAGGTCGATGAAACAACGATGGAGGGTGTGGAGAGCACGGACGCCACTCCTGTTCAGCACCTGGGCGATACCCCCAGCCTGGACTTTCTTGAGGAGAGAGCTGTCTCTGCTGAAGTAAGCAGCCTGTGGCCCCCCAAGCTGGGTGCACTGGGCCCCCTCAGCCTTTGAGGCTGGCCCAGTGTGCTGGGAAGGGAAGCATTTCTCAGGGGAAGCTGGGCAAGTTGCTCACTCTGGCAGCTCTGCACCTCTCCCCTGTGCATCCCCAGGCCAGACTGTGGGACCTGGGGACCTGGGCCTGCTCAAGGCATCTCCAGTCCCTGGGGCAGGTGCCCTTGAGGCCAGACAGTGGGACTGGATGAGGCGGAGCATTTCCCAGGCTTCTCTCTTGCAGCTGCCTTCAAGGCACGACTGCAGGACTTGGGGAGCCAAAGCTTTTCCATGGCATCTCTGCTGCAGGTAGCCATAACACCAGACAGAGACATGCAGCAGAGGCCCCCCAGGGTACCCAAGCTGGCCTGGGTGAAGGAGGAGGAGAAGGAGGAAAGCCCTGGGGCTGCTCCAGCACAGCAGCCTGAAGAGGTGCAGCAGGTGCAGCCCCTGCAGGAGGGTGAGTGCTGGAGCTGGGCCACAGGGCTGGTGGCTGCAGCCTCCATGGCCTCATCCTGTCCCAGCCCCTCTGGACATGCCCAGGGAAAGGGAGGGGGCAGAGGGGCTGGGGCTGATCTCCCGGCAGCCGTGCTCCATCCACTGGGCATCCCGGGGCTGGCCCTGCCTGCTCCTGGAGCCCAGGCCTGGGCTGTGTTCTCCAGCCTCTCCCGCACCCCCTCAGCTCTGAGCGCGCTCGCTCTTTGCCAGATGCAGGCCAGGAGCGGACAGAAGAGCAGCTCCGTGCCCGTGGCCGCTTCCGCAGGGCAGCACAGGTACCTGCAGCCATCCCCCCTGGGCTGGGCCTGCTCTCACTGTTCAGCCCAGCACTGCTGTCGCAGCCCTCCAGGGGACATCCCTCTCTCTTCCTTGCCTTTCTCCTGTAGCTGGTTTGCAGATTCATCAGGTACATTTGGCAAGAAGAGGCCACTTTCATGACCACTGGGGACACGGCAAACTCAGACCTCTTCAATGCCCAGACCAACGCTGCCCTGCTGGATTTGCTTGTGCAGAACGGTGTCTACAAAGCCAAGCAAGTAAGCAGCCTGTGGCCAGGGCTCCAGTCCCCCAGGGATGCTGTGGCCCCTCACACCGGCTGCTCTGGGCCCCCTCAGCCTTTGAGACCAGCAGAGTGTGGTGGCAAGGGGAGCACTTCTTGGGGGAAGCTGGGCAAGTTAGTGGCTCTGGCAGCTCTCCAACTGTCCCTCGTGTCCCCTCCAGGTGCCGGCCATAGTCAGGTGCATCCACCAGTGGCTCACGTCCAATGTGTCTGATGAGCACAGGCTGGACAAGACTCTTGTCCTGCTGACCGAGGCACACCCCATGGATGTTGCAGCGACCCTGCTGCGCTCTGCCCCAGCCTGTGACAGGTATGGGGCCCACCTGCCTTCAGGGCTAACCTGCCTTTAGACCCCAGGCCCCTGGACAGCCTGTCCCAAATGGTGTGCCAGAGAGATGGAGCCTTCCAGGACACTCCAGCTCCTCTCTTTGCCACCTTTGGCATGGCAGCCCCCAATCCTGAGGCCAGCCTGCCTCCCTGCCCCACAAGGCACCGTGGCTCTGTCACCTGGGCCCCGCAGCTGCCCAGGCCACAGCGCTGTGTCCCAGACCCCCCTGAGCCAGAGTTGTGACTCCACAGAGCTGCTCGCACCATGTGGAAGACGCTCGTCTCCTCCAGATGGACTAAGGAGCCGGTGCTGCAGATCCTCTTCTGTGTGCTGGAATACTGGCCAGCGCACAGGAGACGCACCTCTAATGGGGATGAGAGGGATGTCTTTGCCCTGGCTGTGAGTTTCCTGAGCTGGTCTCTGCTCGCCCCCACGTTGCCTCTGGGACGCCTTTCCATCCTCCCTCACCACTGCTTCTCCCTGCCCCAGGCACTGGGCTGCAGGCCTGCCTTAGGGGCAAGTTCAGGGACACCAGGCTGGGGGATCCCCCTGTGTCTCCCCTGGCCTGTCCCTGCCACGCTGGGGCCCTGCCACATGGACAACTGGGCCCTGAGAGCTGTCTCTGGGTGCTTTGTCTTTGGCAGGCAACTGTGGCACTCTGGGAGATCCTCCAACTGTCCTGGTGCCCAGCAGCAGTGAAGGACAATTTCCCCCACCTCCTTCTGACTCTGCTCTTCCAAGTTTTCATCAGCACAGAGGAGATGTCAGAGGAGGTTGAGACCTTCTGGAGGTGATGCCGGCAGCAGCGCAGCCTTCCCCCCAACCCCAACAGGTGCTCCATCCCAGTCCCCTC